ATACGTTCTTTTTGTAGATACAAATATAAAATAAAAAATGTCTTAAAATAATTGTCTGACTTTGTACATTTCATAATGTGTGACGTCATTTGTTTACATTTGGATACGCATCGAGCAGATATGAATATACGAGAGAAAATCATGGAGAATTGTAGTTTAACTGTAGAACTTGGTCTAACAAGTTCGATTCACAGCTGAGGTTGTTTACTTTCACTTCGCACTAATAATTTAGTGAAGCACATGAATCGACTTATCCCTACAAACCGGAGGAAAATAGCAGGGCAAATATGATTCGCTAGACTCAGTTGGAAACCAGTTTAGTTACTTTTCAAACCAGGCGTGGATCAATTAATGCAGATCTGTGCTAAATTCCATTTTCTCCCGAGGAAAAACAAACTGTCGGACGAGATATTATATCGAATTAAAAAAAAAAAATAAAAAATAAAAAATAAAAACTTCGAGTCCAAATTGAGATAATCCTGTACAAAAGCCAGATTAATGGATCAGTTTCAAAGCTGGAGACATCACTGAAACTATTGTCAACGAAACAATAGATTTTCTTAGACGCATTTAAAAAAAATAATTAAACCATGATAAGCGTGATGGTGAGTTTAACAGTTTCCACGCAAAAAAAAAAACTTTCTGAAATCATTAATCGAATAGTTCATATTACTATCAGTTGAAATATTTTCTTTGTTCCGTTCTTGGCTGAGTTTTCTCTCTCCTTTGCATCATGTCGAGAATCTCACCAGTCATCCATTCGTTTTTTTCCATTTTCGTCCATTCTTCTTCGCTGATGTCACTAAAGTATCTCTTAGTGCGTCCCATTTTGAGTTTCCATTGTGTTCCTCCTATCTTTTCTCATTGTCTATATATTTTTCTATCAGGTTCGTATCGCTTAAGAGTTCGTTGTATCGTCATTTGGGTGATGCGTTAGGCTTCTTCATTTTTCGCAGTTTCATTCTTAGTTTACATATAACAGCACGATGGTTGCCTCCGCAGTCGGCACTTCGGTAGTTTTTTCAGTGAACCATTGCATTCCTGAATCTTTTGTTGATAGGTATGTAGTCAGTTTGGTATTTAGATTCTTTTTCCTGGGCTCCTCCATGTCCATACCAGGAGTGGAACACTTAATAAAGATCTGTGCTAAATTCTACCATTACTTCTGGTAATTTTCTCCCGCAGAAAAACAAACTGTTGTACGAGATATTATATTGAAGTTAAAAAATACTTTCGAGTCAAGATTGAGATAATCCTGTACAAAAGCAAGATTAATGGATAAGTTGAAAAGATTCAGGCACTACACAAATTATTGTTTTAAAAAAAGGATCAAACCATGATAAGGGTGATGGTGAGATTAATCATTTCTATGAGGGAAAATTTTTTTTGAAATCATTAATTGAATAGTTCATGTTAATGTCGGTTGAAACGTTTTCTGTTTTCAGTTCCGTATATGGGCAGATTTTCTGTGTCCTTTGAATTTTTTCTTCGTCCATTCTCCCTTGGGATGATAACTTTTGCTGATGTTACTAAATATTTCGAGTTTCTATTGCGTGCTATTTGCAATGTCCATATATTTTTCTTTCAGGTACGGGTCGCTCAGGAGATTTTTGTATTGTCATTTGGGTTCTGCGTTAGACTTCAGTTTCTGCAGTTTTACTTTTAGTTTACATATGACATGGGGATGATTGCTTCCGCAGTCGGTACTTGGGTAGGTTTTTTTTTACTACACCTTGCATTACTGAATCTTTTGTTGATAGTTATATAGTCAATTTTTAAGTTTCTCCTCCTGACTCTTCTATATCCATAATCATCTCTGATGTTCGGGGACTTCAAATTCTCAAGTTCATTAACTGTTAGCGATTTTCTTGTATTGAATCTTTTGTTGATAGTTATGTAGCCATTTTTTTAGTTTCTCCTCTTGAGCTCTTGCATGTCCATAATCGTCTCTGACGTTTGTGGAGTTCGAATTATCAACTCCATTAACAGTTATTGTATTTCTTGTATTGAGGGCGGTGTCCTTCCTAAACTTTTGTTTAAAGTAGTATGGAAACTCAATATACTGATTATATCATCATCTTCCCTCTTAGACAAATTTGCGATTTATTTTAGTTATTAATTTTGGATATTTCTTCGACAGTTAAGAAAAATTTTATTTTTGATTACGTAGCTCCAGCCTATAAGATTTGATGAAGGATTGTCTACTCTAAGACTTACATTGGTTATTCTTTTGAAGCCATTTTTAATCATTGCTATTGGAAAACGTTTGCTTACAGATGATAGTTTAGAAACTTCTGAATGAATGAAACAGACTGCGCGAGTCGGGGTCTGACGAGGAGGTTTATGAAAATGACTAGTTTCCAGCTCATTTCCTGTGTTCAATTGCTTCATCTATTTGTTATGATTCGTGCACTGTTCTGTGAGAATGTTTTAGAAATAAACAATTCCAATACTGAACTTTTATAGTCTATTTATATTAGGTATAATCACTACTGGAAAT